CAAAGCCTCTAGATGACATTTTACCGTACTCTATGGAGCACGCAGTTTTGAAAGGAAAATTTAGATCGCGCTTCAAACGACGGGAGGCGGACTGAAGGAAGTGAGGGGGGGGGGGGCGGAACTTTCTCTCCCGCCCCCCCCTCCCCCCCTCCCCCCCCCCCCCCCCCCGGGAGTTCCGCAAACGAGGTAATCGATAGTTTGTTTTATCTTAAGGCCAGGCGCAGCCGACGCTGCCAGCCAACGTTACTTGAAACTGAGTTCGGAAACTGCCATGGAGCCTGCTTTGAAAATGTGACTTCGATCCGTACTCGAGAGCCGAACTAATGGCGATCGCAGCGCCGCCATTTCTCCTGCAGCGGCCACTCCGGGAACTGCACGTCTGCATCTATCGGTTCAGGTTGAGTCGTGCAAGGGACGGTGGCGCCATCTCGCGGTGCCATTTGTCAGTAGCTATATATATGAACATTTATGTTTTGACTAGTTGCCAAAGGGTGGCGCTCTTATCGTATTTAGTTCAGAGCCGTGTATTGGGAGAGTTTGGCCAATAGGCGGAGCAAAGGCCGCCGCCAGCGCCGAATATTCCCCCCACGCTTGGAGCGTAAACTAAATTTGTGACACAGCGTCAACCAATCAGGAGACCGCGACGTCACAATATTGCAAACGACATTTAAAGCGTGAAATAAAAGCGTATAACTCCATCTCACAAATGTGAAGACAAAGGCACAGGCGCGTGAGCCTAGCTCAGCAAAACGCTTTTGTTTGTACGAGAACTCGTGCATAGGAGGCACTTTCCAAAGCCACGCGCTCGTGCCCATGCCTTTGTCTGCACTGCTAGAATAGTGTCCTGAAACTGGCTGAAAGAAAACAGTGCAAAGGCTGGGGCGCGCGAGCGTCTTGAGACGCGGAGTCCAGCTCGGCTCGTGCGCTGGCTTTGGCAATGCTTTCTTTCCCCGTCTCAGCTGAGACGCTGTTTCTAGCAAGTCGGCCCTGAATTGGAGCTCACGTTCGTTTATTCTACACTTGAATGTTGGCGTGACTAAAACCTCACATGCACAAAGTTTTCAGTCACCGAGAGCTAAACATTTCACTCTAGCGACGCTAAAACGGCTCAAATTAGTCGTGCCCCATATTTAGATCACACGACCACCGCTAGGGGCTGTTTCGCGGCCTGTGGTTGGCCCTGAGATGGTCGCCTATTCAAACCAGCGTATGGCCAAACTCTCTCAATAAACGGCTCTGATTTAGTTTGATCTCGGTGGACACGAGCGGTTTGGGTTTCAAGTGTGAGTTTCTCAGCTGAGTGTTTTATGGTACGTTTACACCTGAGAAGAAATCCGCTGCCGCGGGAGCGGATCCGCTCCCGGCGGCGACGGTGACGAGCGGGTTGCATTTACATCTATTTCCTTCCGGCGGTGGCGGCGGCGCCGGCTGCGGCAGCTGTTCTCATAACATCTCGACAAATATGACGAGAAGGCGCGAGAGTTCCCACCTCGGCTGTCTCTCCCGGGCGTTGCTGCTCCCCAGTCTCGCTGTTTTTAGATGCGGAGCATCTCTTGCTCGGGCTATGTCCCGCGGCGTCGTAGTCCGCACTCACACTACGCATGCGCAACTCTCCTCGCTGCGCGTGCCTTCTCTCTCTCTCCAACAGCTGCGCGAAGTGCACGCAGCTACCAGCTGCGTCCCTCTCTCCAACAGTTGCGCGTGCGTTCTCTCTCTCTCCAACAGCTGCGCGAAGTCCACGCAGCTACCAGCTGCGTGCACTTCGCGTGCGTTCGCTTCTACTCACACCGCGCGCGCAGGCGCAACTCTCCTCCTCTAGTTTCCTCTCCTTCAAGTGTGAATATAAGCAGCGGTAGCGCGCTGCGAGCGTTCAAGGGAAGGAAGTGGCCGAGTGGGCTAACGCGTCTCACCTCGGGGCGTGGAGCGAAAGCTTGCGCTGGGAACCTCCTGGGTTCGAGTCCCCGCCACCCCCGCCCGTTTCGATCTGGATGAGTTTCGTACCGGCACGCGTTCGTGTGATGACTACTGCGTGATGCACGTTAAGAATCCCAGGTTAGCGGTTGTACTGACTGGCTAAATTTCTCATCTACAGCTAAGAGACCGACTACCCGTTGAGGCGCATCTCCATCAAGGCTGTATAAAGAGCAAACCAATTCTACGCGCGTTCAGTTCACCGCTGTTGACTCCACTTCCCTCCGTTCTTCCGATGAAGAGTGATGGAACGATGCTCCGCATCACCCCATGGTTCCCCTTTGGAAGATGGTGTAATTTTTTGGCTCGATAAGTAGGCGTGAGCTTCACGTTGACGCTGCATGTCAAACGAAAAAAAAAAATACAGCGCGAATCTGATGAATGAATACGTAGAGGAAGCAGAGGAAATTGCGATGATTCTTCTCTCGTCTTCCCTGCTTGCGATAGAGAAAGAGGAGCAGCGATGGCCAAAAGGCAGCGTCGATGTCAGTGGTGGCGGGTTCGTCCATGCTTGCGAGACCGCGAAATGACGGGGCAAGCAAGCTGCCTCCTTCCTCGTCTTCGCTCGTATGCGATCGACGCTTCGCCATGCCAGCGACTCTAAATGTCTTCGATGCCGTGGACACCATTTCCAAAGACAAAGAGGAAGAACGCGTATTCGTGACGAAGGCAGCGTCGAGCTGCGCAAAAATGTCACTTCCGGTCAGCGAAACGCCTCGGTCGGCGGCAGAAATACGTCCTGGACCTGTGCGTCTCGCCGCCGCGTTTTCCTCCCAGCGTTTCGCCCCAGCGGCAAAAGTTGGGTGGATTCGCTACCGGATCCGCAAGTGTACACGTACCATTAGTAACGCTGCTACCAGCTGATGGGACCAAGCAGACAGCGTCATAGACGCACGATTATGATGTTCCACATGTTCTATCATCACTGAACCAATAATAAACAAATAATTCCCAGTGAATTGCGATTTTTCGATGCTGCTTGATTGATACATTTAGCTCGTAGTATCGGCTTTATCTGGATTTAAGCTGAAACAAAATAAACACTCTAAAAAAGCCCGTGAGTCTCCTTTGCCGCACAACACTCGGAGAGCCAATCAGCTCAACCTGCAGAGGCAGCTTAGCGAATGACGATGCCGAAACATATGTTTAGACTAAAAAAACGCAGTCTGAGCTGTGACATTAAGCAATGCAAAACGTCACGCTTGCATTGCTTAATGTCACAACTCAGTCTGCGTTTTTGGTCTAAACATATGTTTCGGCATCGTCATTCGCTGAGCTGCCTCCGTAAGTTGAGCTGATTGGCTCTCCGAGTGTTGTGCGGCAAAGGAGACGCACATACTTCTTTTAGGGTGTAGTAACGTCGATGACTAACTGCCGAGATTGTGACCGCGTGATTGAAACAACTACTTACTTTGAGCGTCATCGTGGGCAGGGCTTTTGGGTGTTATTTCTGTGCTCAGTATTAAAACAGGCGAGAAAACGCGAATATTTATCGATGAATATATATAAAAAAAAGCTTATTTTATTTTTGCAAGTTTTTAAAATTGGTTTGGCTTCTAATAGTAACTGCCGCGAATGCAACAATGGCAACATGACTAATAAAACCAATAATTAAAAAGTTAATGAACACATTTAGGTAAATAGGCTTGTGAATTGCATTTAAGCGGGCAAACAAGCTGGTGAATATTAAGCATGACGGTACCCCCAGGACGGCAGGTAAAAACGACTCATACACCAACACATACGCGACAGATATTTCCTTAGTGTGTGCGTCGTTTTCACCCCCAGTCTCGGGGTTTTGTGATGCTTCAAAAGGCATACCTATTACGACTAATCTCTTCCCATCAAATAATGGTACGTTGCGCCTATGCAGATGCTGACACACACTCGTAAACGACCGTGGCTCGGACATGATCCAACTCCGCAGTGGCGCTTTTTGCTCGATTTCAGAATTAAATAGTCACCTCATGCGGGCGCCCTCGCGCCCCCATGCCGAAACCTTGCCGAAAGAAACACGTTTACTGGAGGTTTATTTCGTAATCACTAATGCTCAAATATGAACACGCGTTCTTGTTAAATTATTTCGTTTTTTTTTTTCGTAACCATTTTGCGTGATTGACAATGCAGGATTGAAAACTCGTCATAGCATGCCGAATAATTTCAAACATCTTTGTTCTTAATATGCCGAATTTGACGCAGAATAAACCCTTTTTAGAACTCCATCAAGCAACATTGGAAGATGCCATTTTTTGGGGGGCACGAAGCGTGTGATTAGATCCGAATACTCGCCGAATGCTGACGCGACCTTCGGGTCCAATGAGCCGAGAAACCGAGGGAGAGGAGGAGACGAGAGGGGACGAGAGAACGTCGAGGTCTGGTTCGACTGGGTATAGTGGATAGACCTCAAGCTAGCTGCCTTTCCCTCCATTGCACACGCCGAACACGGTTGAACGCAGAACGCCGGCGTCCGGCTTTCGCATTCCAACGCGTTCGACGAGTGCATTGGAGGCAGAGGCGGCTAGCTTGAGGTCTACCCACTATACCCAGTCGAACCAGACCTCGACGTTCTCTCGTCCCCTCTCGTCTCCTCCTCTCCCTCGGTTTATGTCGCGTACATGTTTAGAGTATATGTACCCTAACAATGGTATACTATAGGATAATTGCGCAGCGGCTACTAGATGGCACGCACTTTTGAAAAGGGTCTCTTAATGTTTTTTCTTCGCTCTGGTTTGCTGTACATGCTGAAATAGAAGATGTGGGTTCGAACACTTTCGACCGCTCGTGCACGTTGTCACAAACACTCGCGCAGCGTAGCTGCCAACGATCACAGAACGACGCCCTTTGGCATATTGCTATACGAAGGTCGTTGCGTCTGACATGCTGCGCGTGCATCGTCGTGTTGTCCTGTTCTTTCTACGTTACAAAACTATTCGAAGTTATTTGATCAGACGACGTAAATAGATATTTTCTCGAAGGGAAACCTCGAGGCGTGCACGGCTTTTGAGGAGAGTGTTGGTGTTGCTGCGCAGGGATCTACTTTTTCGGCCGTGCCACCCCGTGTCCGCATCAGCGCGGTGCTGCCGGAGTTTCCCTGCGTGAGGGACATGGTGCTGCCCAAGGAGGCCGACGCCGACAAGGTGAGCGGACCGCCGTCTCACGCTGCTCCCACGGTGGTAAGCAGCGGTCAGACGGCTAATGCACCCTAGAAAAAAAACAAATTCTGCAAACAGTGTCCGAGGCTTGTTTTTTCCTTGTATGGAGGTCCTGTTACATTAGGCGTACAAAATGTCTTCCAACATACGCAGCAGGTACAAATGTATAAGCAAGCAGGATTCAGACAAGTCTAATGCGTGTGCACAGACAATTGTGTCATCCTGTCTGAACCCAACACCGTGTCTTTTGTAGGATGTATACATCAGTATGACTGCAGCTTTAGTGTGACTATATTTGAGAGTGTTGTCAACTGCTAGTCCGAAGTGACGTGGTTGATGGGCCGCATTTGAAATACGAGCTGCTAGTAGGCGACGGAAACGAAAATCAAATAGTTCACCAGCAGTATAGATTCCACACCCCGCTTACCCGCATCTCTCACATCAATGGCTGACCACGCTCTTTTTTGTAATTCTATTACCAACCTCATGTTCCCTATTGTTTGAGATTTTGTTCATTGTTCCTTGTGTATTCTTATTGCTTTTATTCCCCACTCCCCTCTGTAATGCCTTTGTGCCCTGAGGGTAAAATAAATAAATAAATAAATAAATAAATAAATAAATAAATAAATAAATATTTGCATGAGACAGTAGCGCGCCTAGATCGCCAAATACCCCCTAGAGGTATGGACAGCCCGGGTCGGAGAAAATGCACGTGCATTGCACCGTTCATGTTGTCGCGCATTCGTGCTGTCGCCAGAGAGAGAAGGCTCACCGACCGGGACACCGGATTTGCAAAGACAGCAGAGACGACCGCCTCCACTGTCTCGAAGGCGGTCCACGGCGAGAGATAGCGGGAATCACTTGTTCCAATTAAAAAAAAAAAAATCACCGAGGATTCGCGCGCGTCAAGCCGTTCAAACTGCCCAAAACACGTCCACCTCAAGGCCATTCAACTTCGCCGAGTAAGAGTATTTTTTGTGATGTATTTGGTATTTACAGCGGCTCAATCGGGGTCTTGTGGTTTATGACGACACGCTTGCAATACGAATTGCAAGGTTGTTGCGAGGGCAGGTATTACTACAAGCGTTTCTCGCAACGTGAGGAAGAAAAAGTTTGCAACGACTAAAGTAGGTTCGAGGAATCAGTGTACACGCAGTAGTTGGATCAAACTTTTCGCAGCTAGAGCCCGCCCCAAAGCTTCATTCACACTTGCGGGAAGCTCTGTTGCCTCCGACCGAGTTCATTTGGCGGAAAAAAAGACAGCGCCGTTCACGTTTGTAGCTGCCCGCCGCGCGACCCCCCCTTCTCTCCCCCCCTCCCCTTCCCTCTCCCCCCCCCCTCCCCTTCCCTCTCCCCCCTTCCCCTTCCCTTTCCCCCCTCTCTTCTTCCAGAGTAGACAACTCCTGGCTCGTGCCGTGTCCGAAAAACTGCTGTTCTCACAGGCTTCCTCTCGCAGCCAAAACTTCGCTGCTACGCGATATAACATAGCTACCGGACCACAGTGCCGAGAAATTGTCCTACATTTTCTCGACTGTCCAAGAATGGAATGATAAAGCAGCGACCAAACGGAGGCAACGTGTGTACGTACCACTCGTGCTAATTTTAGTTCACACATGCTCTTTGTGGGCAATGTCTTTGTTGCCCAGATTTCTCTTGTTGAAGATTGTCGAATAATTTTTTAGTGTCTATGAGTATTTTTGCCGACAAATCGGTGCCAGCGATACGGCACAATTTACGCAACTTGGTAGCTCCCACAACTCGGGCGACTCGGCCAGGATGTGACGTACGCAAACGCCATTTCCTCTTCGCGTGCTAAATCTCTGCGGCAGCCCAAAAAACGGTTCCGCTTGGGAAAAAATCGGTGCCGGACGAATTGCTCTGGCGGCCGAGAATTCCGTAGGATTCCGCGCGGATCGGGCCGCGGATCCCCAAGTGTGAACGAGTTATAATAACCGGCGCCAGGTTAAGAGTGCAATGTCGTTTAGATAATTAGACGAAAGAAACACTTAAAGTTTGGTGCACTTTTGATCCGGATTTCATTTCCAGATGGACACCTTCTTGACCATGTACCGAACCCACTGCCAGCGGGTCTTAGACACCGTCCTGAGAGCAAGCTTGGAAGAGGTAAATACATTCGGTCAATTTAAAACGCTTCCCTGTTTGTTCGATTATTTACGCTGGCACGAGGCGCTGGCGAAAGTTGACCTTTCAATGAAAGAGGAACTGGAGAGGCGTATCAAATTCGGGATACGATTCCGGTACAATACCGGTATGGTCCGGGTGCGGGGTTGTTGATACTTATGCGCGCCACTGCCGTAGGCGTACGGGCTACCGGCAATTTGCTACCGGCTTTCCTCGTAGCAAGAAAGCAGCCCCTACTGTCACTGACAGAGTGAGAACGGCAGGGTGTCTCTTTCGAGTGTTCAGCCTCCAGCACGCGCCCGTTGCCTTCAGTCGTGCTTTGGCTTCGCGAGCAGGCTCAAGGCCCGCACAGCGCCAACGCATCATCGAAGGTAGAAAGCAGGCTATACAACTGAAACTCCTTCTTGCCGTTCTTATTCTGTCACTGGTGTTGCGAATGGCAGAACCGCGTTTGTCTTTGCGTGCGTAATGAAATAAAACCGAGCACTAATAAATAATATACGTGTCCACGTGGTTCAAAATACTTATAAAAAGACATGCCTCCACGTGTATTTCTGACAATCAGCGTCTCGGTCGGTATATTTCCATGGCGTGTTTGCTTTTGCCCGTGAAAGCAATGCGCTAGGTCGTGTGGTTGGCAATCTTACCGGGTATGCCGGCGGCACTCCTAAAGGATATATCTGTGGCTGCCAAACCGTGATTCTGTATTGTACTTGCACTAGACTACCGTGTTGATGCAGAATCTACGATAGCAAGTGAAACTACAGGCGTTGAATTATGAGAAAGACGTGCATTCCGGCAACTCGCAGGCTCTCATGTGTACTCTAACTCCAGTCTGCCAGTAGCCCTGACCAAAAGTATCCTTCGAAACATTAACGTGTGTTATACTTCAGTAAGACGAAAATCTGGCCACAAAAAAGACTTAAAAAGTTTCAACACAGGCACAGCGGTATAATCTTTCCGGTTTGTAGTTCACCCAGGCACCTCGAGCAAGTGTTATCTCTAAATTATTAAAGTTATGTTTATACCTAAGCCTTCTCTGTTGAATTTTTCTCATGTTACGTAAATAAATTCCCAATGAAGGTTTGAAAAAAAAATTATCGCTAAAGTACCAATTGTTTGTATGGATGAGTTACGGCATCTCATGTCATCACGGACAACGCCATCCTTTGTAGAAGCAGACCTCACAGCAATCACAGGTTTATTGAGGAGAAGCATCTTCAGAAGCTGAAAGGGTTGGGGGCAGAGATGGCAGTAATGACATTACTGTAATGAATTTACAGTAATAAAATTACTTTTTGGAGTAATGAGTAATATAATAAATTAATTCTCTAGGCTAGTAATTTAGAAATGTAATTAATTACTTTCAGACAGTAATTTCGAGAAAATTACTTATTACTTATGAAATTACTTTTGCCCTAAATTAGAAAATTCGTTTGCAAGCTTTGAGAAAGAAGAAAAAAATTATTTTCCATTGTGAAATGTTGTGAAAAAGCTTCAAAAAAAAATAATCGACGGCCACCTGAGCGCAAAGTCTTGTACGAAGAGCTGGACAGACGCACAAAGGAGGGCTGGAAAGGCGAAGGAGAAAAGCTTGTAGACATCGCTAAAAGGCAACGGCTTACGAACTCCAGGCGCGACAGATTCACGGCGTCGCGTCATCGCGACGATACAATATTTCTTTCATCCCTAAGCTGACAGTGCTGTGGGAGCTGCAAACTAACCAGAACCAATGAAACTCTTTTTCTGATCACGTGACCTGTCCCTTTCTAAGCGCGTGGTAGAACGAGGGCGTGGTTACATGGCGAATGATAGACGTGTGACTGCTCCAACAAACGCGTAGATTCCACCGTTCATTCCCTAAGCTTACAGCACGTCAGCTTAGGGGTGAACGGCTCATAGGCTACAAGGCGACGGGCACATCACGAATAAGTTAAACATAATTTAAAAACCTGAGAGGACACGACAAACAGATCCCCAGCCTTGTACTTTCGTCAAGCAAGGTCAAGCAGTAAGCTTCGACCATCGTGAACAACACACGACCGGAATAAATAGTTAATTACAAATGCCATGTCAAAGCACCAGAACGTTTTGTGCGTCCTCGAACAAAACAGGTGTGGCTCGCGGTATGCCTCGCTGCCTTCCCTTGCGAAGTTTCTTCGTGAATAAGCCTACAGGGAGATATTGCCCCCCGTTTATTGGGAAACTACACAATTTAGGAAGCTCGCGCCATTACTCAACTGGCGATGCTTCTGCTTAGCAATTACCCGGGCCCTTTGTGTGACAATGCGCAAAAACGTGGACTCTTTGGGTGTTTTGAAAAAATGCTCCTTGATAGGAATGACCGAGAATAGGTCAACCACACTCAACAACTTTTCTTGGCAATGCAGTGGAGAGTACAGGCACGCGTTCCCTCTCCCATTTTTGAGCTCTGAATAAAGCTGTGCGTGGGTTCTTCTCCTCTCCATTGCGTTGCCATAAAAACTTATCGCCGAATATAGTGCTCTCGGGAGAATAGAACTAGATTGCGTCCGAGGCGGAAGGGAAACGTTTCACGTGACGACTCTTTGTCAGAACGAGCTGCCATTGGCCGACTTAACAGACTGACGCGGACTACAACTTCAAAATCAGGGAGACGGAAACGTATCACCCTTTTAGTAAGAACCCTCCCCGTTGAATGAACAGCGAACCCGGTGAGTCGACTGCCTTTCTGAGTCACTTCTAAAAAGGTATTCATCATGTTTAACACTTATGTCGTGTGCCCCAGCAAAACCACTGTTCAGTATGGTTTACTTTGTGGCACTTAAGGTTGTTGCGGTGTAAACAGGAAGCTTTGAGTTGTTGTACATGTAGACCAACTTAGCTCTTTGACGTGACATCAGTGCGGTTGCGCTGCTGTCAGCACTGCGCATGCGCAGCGCCTCACTTCTCCCGGATCTGGTTCCTGCACACGCGCTGTGTGGGCAAACGAGGGCTTGTTTTGTAAACACTGTGTTGGTGTATACGGTAAATAAATTGAGCGCGAATTACTGCCTCAAGGTTTACAAAAGTGATGTCAAAGTAATTTTATTAATTTTAGAGAGTAGTTGTAATGTAATGTAATTACCTTTATTCATCGATAATTTGGAATGTAATTTAACTACTTTTTGCAGTTTTCACAAAAGTAATTAGTAATGTAATTTAATTACTTTTGGAAAGTAATTTCGCCATCTCGGGTTGGAGGTTGGAGGGAACTTCGGTTAGTACAGCCGTTCAGGGGACTTCCTTGGTTTGAGCTTGTCAGACCGCAAGCCATTTTCATAAATATTGTTTTTCTTGATTTTACGGATGAAGTCGCTATACACAAAATATGCTTCTGTGGCATTCTTCGGTGTTTAGAGTGGACATTGAGCGTTTCTTTTTGTGTGTGTGTGTGTGGTTATAGCAGGTCATTTTCTTGCAAACTTCATCCTTTTCTATGTAATGATGCGCACGTATGAAATATTTTTTCTCTTTCGATAAACTGTTTGAACGCGAACGCCGAACGCCGAATACCGACCGCAAAAGACGAACACCGTAGCTCAAAATGCCGGCGTCAGACTCAGGTTCTGAGAAGCGCCCTGGCAAGCCAAATCGGATGTTTTTAGGTTGTGTTTTCGTTGTGCGTTGCTTTGGTCCTTTCAGACCATAGCGCCTACACTCATAAAATTTGAGCGTAATAGATCACCATCCAACGACACCTATGTGAAGAGGTTCAATCAATGCACTCTGTTTTTTGGTTTATATAGACGATCTTTTATACGTCCAAACAGCGCTCGGGAACAGGGCTGTAGAAGATTTTCCACCGTCGCAAATGAAACATTGGTTTTGTTTAAAACTTTTTATGGAGGATAGAAGATTCGAGACGCCGGGTATCACATGCAATGTGAGTTCTGAAGTCCGTCCTTGAGTTTAATATTTAGGTATCTTTGTAACTTCTCTACTAACGTGCTAACACTTAATATTCTGGTCCTATGTCGATATATATTAGTCGATCAAAGGTTTTGTTGTTTTATCCATCAACGTCTTAAAGGACATTTCTAAAAAATAACAATTCTAAGATTTCTAAGCATACCATGTCCTTTTTTTCTTTTTTTGCTCGTGTGATTATAAATAGGTTAGCTAGGACGATCAGAAAGGTTGCCACGCGAAGTTTACGAGCGCCCCGCTCGTAAAGTTCGCGTGGTTACTACAAAGAAATAAATGTGCGATCACGAGCGTCGGTGGTTGGGTTAATTGATTTTTGCATATAAATCGCACTACGTGACACTTTGCCTCTCACCGATTGACGACCTGGTGGATGCCCTAACTGTAGAAGTTGTTATTTTGGCCCCGAGGTGTTCTACCTCCACCATCACGTCGTCATTTTCCAGGAAACGCGTGCCACCTTGTGGGTTTTTGTATGGGAGAAAGAAGCCAGAAGTCCCTACGTCCTGGCGGGGCGGATGAATACAGGGACAGAGGCAGAATTTCATAGCCTACAGCTGCCGCGTGCGCCATTTGTGTGTTGTGGCGGAGCAAACGCACTTCCATGGTTCGCTTCACGAGACTCTTGGTGATCTATTGTAACCCATAGTCAGCAGCTTCCAGAATAATTTTTCTCTACTGTTTGGCCCCAATCTCTGAGGAACACACTATTCCAGCCCCGTAGCGCTAGTCATCACCTTCCCGAACGACGGCTGTCTTCACTTTTAAAGCAAGTAAATCAAACGAGCCTATGGTTCGCTTTCTTTCTTCGACTGGCGTAATGGCCAGTGGCGTATTAACTTGTTTTTGAATGGGGAGGGGGGGGGGGGGGGGGGACGTCGGGGAGTGGTGCCCTTGGTATCCCTTAGGTGCCGCCGGCCACTATTTGCCCTGCCCAGTGGCGGCTGTTTCAGAAAGGGCAAAACACATGCCTTGCCCCCCCTCCCCCCCTTCCCCCCTCTCTCCCCCCTTCGGTTGGTAAGCCCATGGTAATGGCC